GTATAGTTACTTTGGAAAACAGCTTGGCTCTTTCTTAAAAATTAAATATAAACTTACGATATGGTCTAGAAATTCCATTCCTAGGTACCTACTCAAGAGAAATGAGAATATACACACAAAGACTTGTATGGGAATGTAGAAGCAGAATTTCTCATAACACCAAACCTGGAAACAATCCAAATGCCCATCAACTGATGAATGAGCAAAATGTGGTATATCCATACAATGGAATATTATTCAGCAATAAAAAGGAATAAACTACTGAGACATGCTACAACATGGATGAACCTCAAAAACTTTAAGCTTAATAAAAGAGGCCAGACTCAAAAGACCACATATTATATTATTTCATATGAAATTTCCAGGAGGGGCAAATCTATAGGAATAGAAATTAGATCAATGGTTGCATGGGGCTGGGGATGGAAACAGGGATTGACTGCAGATGGGAACAAGGGTATTGGACGGGAGTAGATGGAAATGTTCTAAACCTGGATTTTGGTGATGGTTGCAAAACTGTATAAAATTTCAAGTTTAAATTATTGAATTGTATGTTTATTATAGACATTTTATTTTATGTGAATTATACCTCAATGAAGCTGTTAAAAAGATGCACACAATAAAACAATTCTATGTATTTCACAAAGACATATATGTATATATAAGGAGTCATATTAAATATATAAGAGTGAAGGGGAGGGTAATGATAGTGGAGATGTACAAATAGCAAAAATATTAAGGAAAGTGTTGTTGCACATGAGAAGAATGTGCCAAGAACTGGGAAATGTGATTATCTCAACTTTGTCCTCCATGATCCAAAAGAGAAAACAATTAAGCAAGCTATCATCAGCAGGACTCTCAAAATTACTGGTAGGATAAGGAAAATAATACTTATATTTGTAGAATGCTTTACTGTTTACAAAGCTCTTTCACATACATTGTCTTATTTAATTCTCAAAATAGATCTGTGAAATACATATAACTATCGCCATTTTACAGATAGATTGACTGAGACTCAGAGTGGTCACCTAGCTACTGGCAAAGGAGATTTAAACCCAGAGCTTTTCCCTACCTCCCTTACTTGGCTGATCCAATGAGATTCTTTTCCCCAGACATTTGGAATTAGACAATAGTGAGTCTCCATGATTATACAAGCACTGAGGATATATAAACCCTGGAGTTGTGGAATGGCAGTATTGTTTTAACAAGGTACATGGAGAAGAGAGACAACTTGCCTAAAAAGAAAGTGAATGAAGCCAACTCAGTGACAAAAGGCCATGTGGCTAGAGGCACACATTCATACCGTGGTAGCCACGGAGATGTGCCACCCAGATCTTCTTCAAAGAAGGACTTGCTACCTGGCCACAAAGAGTGCAGTCCAGCTGTCAGCTCCAGCTGCAGAGAAGCCTCTTGCCCAAGATCATGTCCTTGCTGGGGCAGCCTGTGTCAGATGACCCAGTAGGGCCAGATATAAAGTATGAGGCAGTTCTGCCTGAAGTGGGACACTCTAAAGAAAAATGCTTTCTCTGAGCTACCTGTCAGGTTGGCCAAGGCTGGTCTGACCTGCATCACGATTTAAATGCTTTCTCTGGCCGATCCCCCTTCCTCCCCTTTCTCTTCACAGGTATCGATCCCTAACAACTCCTATCAGAATCTGTTTCTGAATAGCCTGACCTGCAACACATCACAACACATACCATACACAATAAAACTCAGACTTCCAGGCTTTCTGGTTCCTGGCTCTTATGTGGACACAGTTGAAATTCCAACTCTTGGCCTTTATCTTAAGCTAGCTCAAGTGCAAACAAAGGGCTTTGACCAGAATGTTAATTTTCTGTGTCAGTGCTGCCACTAAATAGCCATTTAATCTTGAACAAATCATTTTATTTCTCTGGGTCTTTGTTTTCTTAACTATCTACTGACAGGTCAGGAAAGGCCCTTCTAATCTTCATTCTATAGTCAAGCAGACAGTTGACTACACAAAGAGCCTGCTGAGCTGCTGAAATGATTTAACCATCCCTAAGATACACTTTTTCATGGCTTTTCAGTCACAGCTAAGATGCTTTCCTAGAAAGCACTTCTAAGTTTCTGGCTGTTAAAATGAACTCAACTATGACTTTGACAAAGGGTCACTTCTCAAAGTGGTTAGGAAAGTTGCAAGGTGATGCCTGGTGCAGAGACAGCAGACAGAAATGATAGACACAATCCTATCGTGAAGGAGCTGAGCTTGTCCCTCTACTCCACTGAGGTGGAAAAGGGGGAGAAAGGAGTTTGAGGAACTGGATAGGAATTCAGCTACAGCTCCACATAACTTCTGCCTCCCTTTCTTTGTCCTTGTCCTATCTCCATCCTTGCATACAATGCTGTGCTCTATACTCCAACAACCCAAAGTTCCCTCCTTCAGGACTACTCAAGCCTCCCTTTTCCTTCAAAACTACCATTCAACAATACCACCACAATTTCCAGTATCTCCATTAAAACTACTGTCCCACAGTGTGGATTGTTTAACTTAGGTAAATGATTAGCTGTAAAGCCATCAAGGAGCCTTACTGGTTTAACGATTTTTCCTCCAGTGACTGTTAAAAAAACAGATTACAAGAACAAATGTAGGGAAATGACAAAAGTTTTAAAATCTTACAGTCTTTATGCTTCTGGTGTCTGATCTGTAGTTCCAGAACTTTTCCCTTTCTTAAATGGAAATCTGGATGGTTTTATTCTCTTGAGGATCAACACTCCCTCTTGTTGCTCCCATCTCGCAAATCTTGTCTTTAGCAAAAACCACATGGATTCTTTCTACCATTTAGCCCCTTTCCCCTGTGTAAATATGTGATCTGGCCTGAAAATCCAATCAGGCTTTCTTTGACTCCACGGGCAGCTAGCACCTCTAAGTATCTCCAAAAGAGACTATCCATATGATTCCTCTGGCAGCTTCTTTCTCACAACCCATAAGAAGATTGTACTAAACTCTCCCGATTTACTTCTGTGCTCCTTCCAGCACTACTTAATCCCTGGTGCCCCAACTAGGTTTCGATATTTTCTCCCTCCCTCACTCTGCTCACCCATTCAAAATTCCCATTCTTTGACCAACTTGCAAATGAGTGATAACAGTTAAATGCCCTGCATTGAGGAGATAATACAAAGCAACCTACAGCTGAGAAGCCATTTCTTTGAAGCCTCCTTTATGCAGCAAGAAAAATATATCTCCTATGAAGTTTCCTTACGCAGTGAGAAAAATACCTCACCTCGCAGACATGATGTGAAGATTAGGTGAAAGTGCCTAATGCCCCGTATGTAATAATAATAATTTTAAAAAGTAATTGAGAGGGGCGCCTGGGTGGCTCAGTCGTTAAACGTCTGCCTTCAGCTCAGGTCATGATCCCGGGGTCCTGGGATCGAGCCCCGCATCGGGCTCCCTGCTCCGCAGGAAGCCTGCTTCTCCCTCTCCCACTCCCCCTGCTTGTGTTCCCTCTCTTGCTGTCTCTCTCTGTCAAATAAATAAATAAAATCTTTAAAAAAAAAAAATTGAGATAGATAGAAGTGTGGTTTTTGTTTTTTGCATTTTTGTATTATTTTTTAGATCTTCTATTCCTGGGGATTGAAATTTTGGCCCAGTCTTTAGGGATACACACACACACACACACACACACATTCTTTTTTTTTTTTTCCCTATTTATTTATTTTTCTTTGATGTGTTCCATGAGTCATTGTTTGCCTATAACACCCAGTGCTCCATTCAATACGTGCCCTCTTTAATACCCATCACCAGGTTAACCCTTCCCCCCACCCCCTCCCCTCTAGAACCCTTTTTGTTTCTCAGAGCCCATAGTCTCTCATGGTTTGTCTCCCCCTGCAATTCCCCCCCCTTCATTTTTCCCTTCCTACTATCATTTTTTTTTTTAACATATAATGTATTATTTGTTTCAGAGGTACAGGTCTGTGATTCATCAGTCTTACACAATTCACAGCGCTCACCATAGCACATACCCTCCCCAATGTCTATCACCCAGCCACCCCATCCCTCCCACCCCCACCACTCCAGCAACCCTCAGTTTGTTTTAAAGAGAGAATCCTGTAGGATGCTGGGAATGGGAAACTGGCTGTTACTGACGGAACTTAAAGAATAAAAATTAATTCCTTCTTTCCTATCTGAAACCTCTCAGGATTCCCTGTGACAATAGCCACCATCTATTCAGTTTATTTCAGTAACTACTGGCTTATTTCCATGCATGATTGCATTTAATCTTCACATAACAACACCATCGTCTCTAGTGCATAGGTGAAGAATGAAGCTTGCCGGGGGCGTGGCATCAAGTGTTTCTTCCATTTTCATACAAGATCATACAGACCAGGGTGGGTCTTTTTTTTTTTTTTTAAGATTTTATTTATTTATTTGAGAGAGAGAGAATGAGAGAGAGCAAGCACATGAGAGGGGGGAGGGTCAGAGGGAGAAGCAGACCCCCCGCTGAGCAGGGAGCCCGATGCGGGACTCGATCCCGGGACTCCAGGATCATGACCTGAGCCGAAGGCAGTCGCTTAACCAACTGAGCCACCCAGGCGCCCCAAGAATAAATGTCTTTTTTTTTTTTTAAAGATTTTATTTATTTATTTGAGAGAGAGCGAATGAGAGAGAGCAAGCACATGAGAGGGGGGAGGGTCAGAGGGAGAAGCAGGCTCCCCGCCGAGCAGGGAGCCCGATGCGGGACTCGATACAGGGAGTCCAGGATCATGACCCGAGCCGAAGGCAGTCGCTTAACCAACTGAGCCACCCAGGCGCCCACCAGGGTAGGTCTTAACCGTTCCAAAACTGTCAGGGATTTGCCTCTCCCTGCTCCGCCCCGCACCCCCACTCTTCACGGAGGAGTGTGGCCAAGCACGGATTGGGGGCGGGAAGAGCGGCCAGAGGCTGCCTCCCCGGGGGCAGGGTTTGACGAAGCCCCGCCCCAAAAGTGAGCTCACAAGGGCGTGGCCTCACGCCGATTCTCGCAGTGTCTCTGGGCCGGACTGCCGCAGAGCCGTAAAGGGCTCTACGAGTCGTGAAGTGGCGAGGCGCGGAAGTGTTGCTTTACGACGATTTGGACGAAAGCTGTAGGCCGGCGTTTGCTGCATGGGGCTTTCGGTCCCGCACGTGGGCGACTGTCGGTGTTCCGCCCCAGAATTCGTTCTTTTTGGCGTGGACAAGCCACACTGAAGGACAGAGTGGCAGCGAAGGCCAGAGGTCGTGAGCTGATGGATACGCCTGTTGAAAATGAAGGGACTTTGGGAGGAGGTCTGCAGAGTGGTGCTGAGGGGGCGCGGCTAAGGCTCGAGTCCGGTAGGGAGAGAGTCGGGGGCACAGCAGGGACGGACGCTGGCAGTGTAGACGCGGGGAACGGACAGGCAGGAATGAAGACAGAGGATAGAGAAGGAAGTGGACAAACGGCAGAGGAGATGCGAGTGGACCTAACGGTTGTGAAACAAGAAGTTATGGACTGGTCGGAAATGGAAGACGGGATGCTGGATGGCCGGTGGGTAAAGCAGGAGGTGGAGGATGGGCCTGAGGTGAAAGAGGAGAAACCAGGCAGTTTGGAGGTGAAGCAGGAGATGGGTAGTAGTTTTGTGGTAAAAGAAGAGAAAGTGGATGGAGCAGAGGTAAAAGAAGAGAAAGTGAAGGTGAAGGAAGAGGTGATGGACTGGCTAGATGTGAAGGAAGAGAAGAAAGATAACTTGGAGATAAAAGAGGAGGTGTTTGTTGCTCAAAACATAAAAACGGAGGAAATGATGGATGAAGTTTGTGTAAAAGAAGAGAAGTATTTCCCAAAGGAAGAAGTGATGGATGATACAAAGGTGAAAGAAGAGCCTCAGATAAATCCCCCTGTGGGTTTCAAACGGAAACTGGCCATGTCAAGGTAGGACGGAGAAATTCATTGGGGAAATAAAGCTGTGGAGTCCTCTGTTGTCTGGATTGAAGGAAATCTAGCAGTGTGGAATAATGAAAAATAAATGGCAAACTTGGGTCCCTGGAGCGTGCGTGTTGGTGGTGGAGGGAGGGGGTAATTGGGAAGGCAGGGTTTTGTCAAAGGACAACAAATTCAGTGAAAATATGTCAGGCTTTTAGTGGCCAGTGGACAGTGGCCAAGTAAGGAAGTGAAAATTCTGGGGACCAGAAAACCCTTGGACCAGATTCTGATTGGACTTAATATGCTCTTGACTCAGTATTCTTTAAAAGAGGATAGACATAAGGAAAAGTCTAATAAAACTAACAATGACAACATGGATTAAGTTAAAATTAGACAAAAATGCACTTGAACTCACCCAGCTGTTTACTTTCTCTATGGATAGTATGCATATTTATTGCTTTATATTTAATTTCCTTATAGTGTATGATCATGTGACAGCATGGGAAATAAGAGTGATCAGATTCTTGGGACTATTACTGTCTAGAACACAGTGGGCCAAATAGAAATGACTGTAGTTTGGTTGTCAGTATCCCAAGATCCTACAAGAGTAATTGGAGATAGATGATGGGTAATAGCATTTCTAGATTATTTTAATGCTAATTTTAAGTTGGGTGTGGAGATGAGGAGAAAAGATACAGCTGATACTCTAAATTTGACTTGGTCTCATATTCTTTTTGTGGTATGTTTGCTTTAAGGAATGTAAATTCATGGATTGGACTTCTGGTTATATGCACGCGCGCGCGCACACACACACACACACAATCTTTAGCAGACTGCCAGGAATTACAAGTTAAAATATTAATGAATAATCTCATTCTCTGATTGCAGTAGAAAAAGAAGTCAAAGTGAGATTTCTTTTTTAATTTAATATATGTTTTCTTAGATTATGTAGTACTAACAATGTTGTAAATGTAGTTGTCATTTGGAGATGAAGACAGTTTCCTGGAGGAGAATGTTCTAAGGATGTTTGACAACTATCAAGTATTTTATCAGAGTAACTTCCATATACTTTATTTACTGACTACATGTCTATAAATTGTGATGAGTAATTGACTCAGCATTAAAAATTTTTAAGTCAATAAGTAGAATTAATATTTGATAACTTACTAAGTTTCTTGTGGGCTTTTGTAGGTGTGAAACTTGTGGTACAGAAGAAGCAAAGTACAAATGTCCACGTTGTATGCGATATTCCTGCAGGTGTGTATGTAATTTCCTACCTTACTACCTCTGTCTGTACCTTTCTTACCTCACAATATAAAAGTACCACCTCATTTGTCTCTTCAGTTTGCCCTGTGTAAAGAAACACAAAGCAGAACTGACCTGTAATGGAGTTCGAGATAAGACTGCATATGTTTCCATACAACAGTTTACTGAAATGAATCTCCTGAGTGGTGAGTCATCTTATGCATAGCAGATTGATGCTTCCTGGCCATTGGCATATGTCATTTGTTTATTTTTCTATTTTGAAATTTTTAGATTATCGGTTTTTGGAAGATGTGGCAAGAACAGCAGACCACATTTCTAGAGATGCTTTCTTAAAAAGACCAATAAGCAATAAACATGTAAGTACTTCTTTCCATCTCTTCCAGTTAGAATTCTTTTAATCAGTTAGATTCGTTTTTTTCACCTAATAAATGTAGTAAGTGGCTGTTGTGATCCAGACCTATTCCAATTACCAGGGATACATCAGTGACCAAAACAAAGTTCTTCCCCTCATGTAGCTTGTATTTTGTGGGGAGAGACAGATGAGTAGAGGAACAGATATAATTTCAGATAGAGTTAAGTGCATGTAGAAAATAAAGCACAGGAGATAAAAGGAAATGAAAATGGTGTTTGTTGGGAGGAGGTCGTGAGTATTTTCAGTATGGTAGTCAGGAGAAGCTTCTCTGAGAGATGACATTTAAGCAGTGATCTGAATGATGAGAAAGAGGCAGCCACGTGAATCTTTGGAGGAAGACTCTTCCAGGTAGTGACAAAAGTGTAAGACGGAATTAGGAATGAGGTTGGTGTATTTGAGGATTAAAATGGGGACGGGGTGACTGAAGCATACGTGAGTAAGGAGAATGTTGACCATGAGCTTAGAGAAACTGGTGAGGGTCCTAATATATTCTAAGTGAAAATAGAAGCCATGGGAGGGTTTTGAGCATGTTAGCTTTTTGAAAGATCACTCTTGCTGCTGTCTGAAAAATGAGCGTTAGTAGGCAAGAATGGAAGATTGAAAGCAGGGAGTCTAGTTACAAAGCTGTTGCTGTTGAGGTGAAAAATGATGGTGGCTTGGATAATGCTGTTAAATTATTGGGAAGTGTTTAGATTCTAATTTTGAAGGAAGAACTAAGAGGGCTTTCTCTTCTACTACACCTGATTTTCATACTCTTTCATCCCTTTTGCATTCCTTAAGCTAAGTATGCAAATTAAAGCTTATGTATTTGAAATATTTGCAACTGCTATTCTAGAAATTCTTTAATAGTGTTATTAAATCATGTCATAGAATTATGTTCCTTTTTCAAAGACCATTTTAGCTTTGGAGTTGAAGCATTTTAGCAATTTTAAAACACCTTATTTTATTGTTATTACTGGTACAGACTTGACATTTCATATTTCTGAAAGAAAAATTATCATGCATCAGCATGTTCTAAAATTCTGCTTAAAAGATAAATTACTTTTTAAATTTTTTGTTTTTATCATAAAGAATTGCATGCATATTAAAAAAGCATAAAATACAAATATACTGTTTAATGAATAATTAAAAAGTGAACATCCATGTAACTACCACCCAGGTCCAGAATTAGAACATTACCAACTTCTCAAAAATTCCCTGCCACTCTCTTGTGCCATTCCCTGATCCATTCTTTCTTCTGAATAGTTTTCTAGTTTAGGACCATATCATCATTTATTTATCCATTCTGTTCATGGACTCTGAGTTTTCTAGTATAACATGGACTCCAGGTTTTCTGTAATAACAACAACAACAAAAAACCGAAACAGTATTGCAATGAGCACTTTTGTTTATGAATTGTGGTTTGTGTACGTACCTGTTTTTTCTAGGGTTTATACCTGGGAATGGAATTACTCTGTTGGGGGGTACGCACATCTCCAATTTACTAGATGTAACCAAAACGTTTTCTGAAGTGGTTATACCAGGTTAGACTCCCAGTATTGTGTGTACCTGTTGTCACATCCTCTCCAATATTTGATTTGATCAGAGTTTTTAAATTTTTGCAGTTTGATGGCTTTGTAATTTTATCAGGGTTTTTAATTTGCAGTTCTCTGATTTCTAATGAGATTGAGCATTCTTTCAAATATTTTATTGGCCATTTGGATTTCATTTTGTAGAATGCCTGGTCAAGTCTCTTGTTCATCTTTTTATTGGTCAACTTTCTTTTTCTTACTGGTTTGTAGGAATTCCTTATATTTCTTGGATGTCTGTTGGCAGTTGGCTATTATAAATACCTTTTTCCATTCTGTGGCTTGTTTTTCATTCTCTATAATATCTTTGATGAACAGATCTTCTTAACCTTAATGTAGTCAAATTTATCATGTTTCCTTTATGATTAGTAGTTTTATATGTTTATAAAGAAACTCTTTCTTACTTTGAAGTTATGAAGCTGTTCCCCCATAGTTGTTTTCTAAAAGCTTTATTTATAACATTGCATCTCACATTTATATCTGTAGACTACCTGGGATTAATTTTTGTATATCATGTGAAGTGGAGATCCCATTTAATTTTCCATATGGATAATCCACTTTCTTAGCACCATTTATCGAAAAGTTCATTCTATAGGAATTGTAGTAATTTCATTTGTGATATTGGTTACTTATGTCTTTTTTTCTTAGATCAGTTGCTGTTATGTGTTTTTTCTATTTTCTTAATGTGACTTTTATTATATCTTTCTTTTTTATGTTTAGCTTAATTGCACTGCAGTCAGAGAACATTCCTTTAAAATACATCAGTACTTGTGTTTGTGGCCTAGTATATGGTCAAATTTTGTGATGTTCTCTGTTTGCTTGAAAAAAAGAATATTCTGCAGTTGCTGAATATAGTACTCTATATACCCTTTATAGGTCAGGTTTATTAATTATGTTCAAATTGTTTATAATTACTGACTTTTTTGTGTATGTGTTTCTTCTATAACTTTCAAAAAGAAGTATGTTAACATTTCCCAGTAGATAAACAGGCCTGTTTGATTTGTTTCCCCTTGTGGTTCAGTTTGTTTTGCTTTATATGTTTTAAGGCTAAATTATTAAATGCATGCCTCAGGAAATACTTCTTGGTGTATTTATCCTTTGGCATTATGAGGTGACCCTCTTTGTCCCTAGCTTTTTGTGTGCTTTGACTAATACTTAACAAAGTATTACTTGTATCAGTTCTTTGCTTGGTATTTGCATGGTCTGTTTTTTCCTTACTTAAGGCCTTTCTCTGTCCTTATGTTCTGGATATTTCCAGTTCTTCCATGTAATAGTCTGTGACTTTTAACTAAATCATTAAGTTTATATACATTTTAATAAAATTACCTATATATTTGACTTTAAATGTGTCACATTATTTTTGCTATTTGTACCAGTTTTTTTTCTTCTTCTTCTTTTGGACTTTTTTTTTTAGTTATTTGATTTTTTTCTCTTTATCAGTTTAGAAGTTACACACCCTTTTTCTATCCTTTCATTGGTTAAGCTAGACATTACAACATGCATGCTTAATTTGCCAGTATCTAAAGTTAAGTAGTACCTGAACCCTGTGCCTAAACAATGCAAAAGACCTTAGAACAGGAGTTGGCAAACTTTTTCTGTAAAGGGTCAAATAGTCAATATTTTTTCCAGGCCATATGGTCATAAACAATATATAAACGAATGGGTAGGGCTACATTCCAACAGAATTTATTTATAAAGATAAGTAGCAGGCAGATAACAGTTTACCAGCAGTTACCTTAAATTCCATTTAACGTTATTTGAGAGAGAGTGCGCACAACCAGGGGAAGGAACAGAGGAAGAGGGAGAAGCAGAGTCCCCATTGAGTGTGGAGCTGGATACCCAGGCTGGATCATGACCTGAGCCCAAGTCAGACAACCCACTGAGCCACCCAGGCGCCCCTTGAGTTTATCTTTGTATAGCCCACTTTCTTTGCTCTTTATTCCTTCTGTCATCATCTTAAATCTTACATCTGAGAGATCACTTTTTTCCTGCTTCAAGTATATCCTTCAGAATTTCCTTTAGAGAGGGTTTGCTCTTTGCCATGTCTTGGGTTCCTCTGTCGGATTTTTGGGTTTTTTTATTTGGTTGGGTTTTTTTGAATTTCTATTTATTTGCCATTCTTCACTTTGAAATTATTTTTCTGTATGGAATTCTGGTTTAGAATTAGTGTTCCAGTGTCTTACGGCTTCCATTGTTATTGTTGCAGTCACCTGGAATTTTAACTGCCCTTTTTTTTTTTTTTTGATAATAAAATGGGTTGTTTTTTTTTAATTCAATCAGGATCATTTTTAAATTTTCAGTCAGTATATATTTGAATATATTTAGGTAAAAAAAATTTTTTTTCAGATTTAGTTTTTTTTAATTTTGTTTTATTATGTTATGTTAATCACCATACATTACATCATTAGTTTTTGATGTAGTGTTCCATGATTCATTGTTTGCGTATAATACCCAGTGCTCCATGCAGTATGTGCCCTCTTTAATACCCATCACCAGGCTAACCCATCCCCCTACCCCCTTCCCCTCTAGAACCCTCAGTTTGTTTCTCAGAGTCCATAGTCTCTCGTGGTTCGTCTCCCCCTCCGATTTCCCCCCCTTCATTTTTAACCTTCGTACTGTCTTCTTTTTTTTTTTTTAACGTATAATGTATTATTTGTTTTAGAGGTACAGGTCTGTGATTCATCAGTCTTACACAATTCACAGCGCTCACCATAGCACATACCCTCCCCAATGTCTATCACCCAGCCACCCCATCCGTCCCACCCCCCACCACCCCAGCAACCCTCAGTTTGTTTCCTGAGATTAAGAATTCCTCATATCAGTGAGATCATATGATACATGTCTTTCTCTGATTGACTTATTTTGCTGAGCATAATACCCACTAGTTCTATCCACATCGTAAATGGCAAGATTTCAGGGTTTTTTGATGGCTGCATAATATTCTGTGTGTGTGTGTGTGTGTGTGTGTGTGTGTGTGTGTGTGTGTACACCACATCTTCTTTATCCATTCATCTGTTGATGGACATCTTGGCTCTTTCCATAGTTTGGCTGTTGTGGACATTGCTGCTATAAACATTGGGATGCATGTACCCCTTTGGATCACTACATTTGTATCTTTGGGGTAAATACCCAGTAGTGCAATTGCTGGGTTGTAGGGTAGCTCTATTTTCAACTTTTTGAGGAAGCTCCATACTGTTTTCCAGAGTGGCTGCACCAGCTTGCATTCCCACCAACAGTGTAGGAGGGTTCCCCTTTCTCCACATCCTTGCCAACATGTCGTTTCCTGACTTGTTAATTTTAGCCATTCTGACTGGTGTGAGGTGGTATCTCATTGTGGTTTTGATTTGGATTTCCCTGATGCTGAGCGATGTTGAGCACTTTTTCATGTGTCTGTTGGCCATTTGGATGTCTTCTTTGGAAAAATGTCTGTTCATGTCTTCTGCCCATTTCTTGATTGGATTCTTTGTTCTTTGGGTGTTGAGTTTGATAAGTTCTTTATAGATTTTGGATACTAGCCCTTTATCTGATATGTCATTTGCAAATATCTTCTCCCATTCTGTCGGTTGTCTTTTGGCTTTGTTGACTGTTTCCTTTGCTGTGCAAAAGCTTTTTATCTTGATGAAGTCCCAATAGTTCATTTTTGCCCTTGTCCCTTGCCTTTGGCAATGTTTCTAGGAAGAAGTTGCCATGGCTGAGGTCAAAGAGGTTGCTGCCTGTGTTCTCCTCTAGGATTTTGATGGGCTCCTGTCTCACATTGAGGTCTTTCAACCATTTGGAGTCTGTTTTTGTGTGTGGTGTAAGGAAATGGTCCAATTTCATTCTTCTGCATGTGGCTGTCCAATTTTCCCAACACCATTTGTTGAAGAGACTGTCTTTTTTCCATTGGACATTCTTTCCTACTTTGTCAAAGATGAGTTGACCATAGAGTTGAGGGTCCATTTCTGGGCTCTCTATTCTGTTCCATTGATCTATGTGTCTGTTTTTGTGCCAGTACCATACTATACTGTCTTGATGATTACAGCTTTGTAATAGAGCTTGAAGTCTGGAATTGTGATGCCACCAGCTTTGCTTTTCTTTTTCAACATTCCTCTGGCTATTCGGGATCTTTTCTGGTTCCATACAAACTTTAGAATTATTTGTTCCATTTCTTTGAAAAAAAGTTGATGGTGTTTTGATAGGGATTGCATTAAATGTGTAGATTGCTCTAGGTAGCATTGACATCTTCACAATATTTGTTCTTCCAATCCATGAGCATGGACCGTTTTTCCATTTCTTTGTGTCTTCCTCAATTTCTTTCATGAGTATTCTATACTTTTCTGAGTACAGATTCTTTGCCTCTTTGGTTAGATTTATTCCTAGATATCTTATGGTTTTGGGTGCAATTGTAAATGGGATCGACTCCTTAATTTCTCTTTCTTGTGTCTTGTTGGTGTATATAAATGCCACTGGTTTCTGTGTATTGGTTTTATATCCTGCCACTTTACTGAATTCCTGTATGAGTTCTAGCAGTTTTGGGGTGGAGTCTTTTGGGTTTTCCACATAAAGTATCATATCATCTGCAAAGAGTGAGAGTTTGACTACTTTTTTGCCAATTTGGATGCCTTTTATTTCTTTTTGTTGTCTGATGGCTGTGGCTAGGACTTCTAGTACCATGTTGAATAGCAGTGGTGATAGTGGACATCCCTGCCGTGTTCCTGACCTTAGGGGGAAAGCTCTCAGTTTTTCCCCATTGAGAATGATATTTGCTGTGGGTTTTTTATAGATGGCTTTTATGATATTGAGGTATGTACCCTCTATCCCTACACTCTGAAGAGTTTTAATCAAGAAAGGATGCTGTACTTTGTCAAATGCTTTTTCTGCATCTATTGAGAGGATCATATGGTTCTTGTTCTTTCTTTTATTAATGTATTGTATCACATTGATTGATTTGCGGATGTTGAACCAACCTTGCAGCCCAGGAATAAATCCCACTTGGTCTTTAACTGCCTTTAAAATCTTTTAATCTGGCTGCATTTTTTAATCTTTGGTATTCTGTATTTGTGCTATAATACAAAAATGCAAATTTCTTTTTATTCATCTTAACTTGAGAATTGTTAGATTTCTTGAATCTGTGGCATATTGTCCATCAGTTCTGGGACATTTTCAGCCCATTTCTATTAAAAGATTACCTCTGCCTTATTCCTTCTCTTCTTCTAAAACTACCATTGAAAGTGAGTTAAGTCTTCTCCCCGTATCTTACCTCCCCTTTAACGTCTCTAATTTTTTAAATCTTTTTTGTCTCTGTAATGTATTCTGGAAATGTTCTAGTTTTATTTAGTTCTTTAAAAAATCTCCTGAGTCAGTTTTTATAGTTTCTCTTCACTGCACATATTTTCAAGCTGTTACGTTTTTAAATTTTGCAGAGCTGTTCTACAGTCTGTGTATGATCCTTTTAGTGTATGAATATATGGGGAATTCTCAGCTCCCTCTTTTTTCTCTTTTGGTTCTTGCCCACTGACCTTTGTTTTCTTGCATTATTTATGCTTTATTTTTTATTAAGTACTCCTTTTTTTCCTTAAATTACTTGTGAGACCTTTTTGAAGAGTAGGACGCAGGCCTTCTTTTATTCTGCCAGGTACCTGGGAATATTGCAAATCTGGACCTATCTTAAGCCAAGTTGAAAGTTTAAGATTCCCTTGACTACACAAGCAAGGCAAATCATTTCAAATCTTAGCAAGAACTGGCCCATGGCCACAGCTTCTGATGAATTGTTTTTCCTTTTTCCCCCTCTGTTCCAGTCATTCCAATATAAATTTCCTCGCATGCTCTGGGGATGGTGTTTATTTCTGGTTCATCCTTATCTTATTGCCTAATAGGCATATTCTGTTACTGAGATTCATTTGAGGAGGAGTTCCTAGAAGATTACAGGATCTTAACTCTGACCCTCTTACTGAGAAGGCTGTTGAAAGGGAAAGCCTATATTTGCCAGAAATTGCAAAAGTGGCTTCATTGCTTTGCTTACCTCTCTGAGTTTTCACTTCTCACTAAATATTGGCTTGTATTTTCCTGGGTTTTTTTTTTTTCAACTCTTCAATGCTTTTAAGGTGATTTTTAAATATATTTTATTACATATATTTATTTCCTCTATTATCTGTAATGCTTAGGTGTTTTCAGTGGGAGGGTTGGTCCTTATAATCATTGCCATTACTGAAACCAAAGTCCCATGAGTTATAGAATTGCATGTAATTTCTTAAATTATTTCCCTTCTTAACAAATGATAACTGACTCTTCTTTTCCCTTGGCTTATGATTTAATTGTCAAACTCTTTGCATTGCAGATTCTAAATTCCCATTCACTTAACCAAAAACTTGCAATTATACTTTGCCATTTGAGTGATCAAGGAAGAAGTCTTAATGATATTACTTCCTTCACTACTCTCTGGAGTTGACTAGTTCAGCTCAGCCAACGCAGATGGTCAGCGGAGTAACACATTTCAGAGCCAGATTATTCACATATCCCATTTTGTGCATTTTACAGCAGTGACTACTTTAAGTTGGGCCTTGTACTAGGCAATGCCATGGTTCCCCCCGAATGTAACTACCTGTCTCATAATCAAAGCAGGCATGTATACAGCTACATATGATATAAACCCTTCAGTAAAAGAAAAGGCACTGTACAGGTAGCCCCTATGAATTGCCAGATGACCTATATTTTTAAAAATCCCATTAAATCCTTCTTTTGGCTTATAGAATGTATGGTTAAAAACACAGGCTCTAGAATTAGATATACCTGAGTATACACAGGCTCTCTCAGGAAGTAGCTATATAATGTTGGCATCTCATTAACTTTCGTTCCTAGCCTGGGGGTAGTAATAGTGCCTATCTGATACTATTGTGAGGATTAAATGAGATATTGCTGTTTAGTGCAGTTTGTGAAGCATAAGTACCCAATAAATCTTAACTGTTATATTTTGAACATTGTTTATTCACTTCTGAAATTTAAGGCATTTTAAAATTAATTTGTCTATTTATTTTTGGTTATTAGATGTACTTTATGAAAAATCGTGCCAGAAGACAAGGTATTAACTTAAAGCTTCTACCCAATGGATTCACCAAGAGAAAAGAAAATTCAACATTTTTTGATAAGAGGTAAGTTTCTAACTGCATTCTTAGTATATTGGGTATTCTGATTTGATCAGGAACATCTTTTAAGGTTTGGTTTGCTATAGAGCATTGTTACTCAAAGTGTAGTCTGTAAGCTTTTTGTTATTGGTCTATGCCAAGATAATTGCACAAATTGAAAATAAGCATTTATGGGCGCCTGGGTGGCTCAGTTGGTTAAGTGACTGCCTTGGGCTCAGGTCATGATCCTGGAGTCCCAGGATCGAGTCCCGCATTGGACTCCCTGCTCAGTGGGAGGTCTCCTTCTCCCTCTGACCGTATCCCCTCTCGTGCACTCTCTCTCACTCTTTGTCTCTCAAATAAGTAAATAAAATCTTAAAAAAAAATAACCAGAAAAGCATTTAGAAACTTACACTAATTTTATGTCATGTGACTAATAAAAATTTGGGCTTATGGTATGTGTGTGTATATATGTATGTGTGTATATATGTATACCTGAGACTTAAGGTACCATGGAAGTATTTCAGAGGTTGCAAGGACAAAATGATAAATCAAAGCAGGACCCCTGTACAGTTTTGACTAGAGCAGTTTGGTTTTTATATCGCTTCCACTTTGGGGTTCCAGTAAGATTCACTTGAAAGCCAATGTTGGAAAAGAGAGAGGCTTGGAAAACATTTACTCTCTAGTAAATCTGTGAGTACGGTTAATATAATAGAGATTAGTCTGCTGCTTTCTGTCAGTGCTAGGTCTAAAAGGTCCCATTAGTACAGAGGAGAACAGGATCCCAAAATACTGTAAGTAGCCAACTAAATTATTAGGTAATACTTTTCTTTTTTTTTTTTTTTTTAAAGATTTTTATTTATTTATTTGAGAGAGAGAGATAGCACAAGAGGGGGGAGCCAGAGAGGGAGAAGCAGACTCCCTGCCAAGCAGGGAGCCCGATGCGGGACTCAATCCCGGGACTCCAGGATCATGACCTGAGCCGAAGGCAGTCGCTTAACCAACTGAGCCACCCAGGCGCCCGGTAATACTTTTCAAACGTCAAGATTCTGGATTTAGAGTAAAAAATCCTGAGTGAGTTTTACCTTTTTCAGACTCTTAGTAACTGCAAGGCCTTGAGCAAATTACTTTCTCTGGACCTCATCTGTATGATGGGGGGGTTGTAGTAGGTAAACTAAGGTTTCCTCACAGTTTTATCGCTTCATAAACTGAAAAGGCAAAACCATCAGAATAATCATTATTCTAATAAACTTTCCACCTTTTCAAAAGAAGTTATATTAGAAGATGGTGTTATCCATTTATTTTATATGTTTCAAGGCAAATATTTGTAAAAGTGGTTTTCCTTTTTCCTGGATAGTTTTCAGAAATAAAGTAATGTTTTTCATTTATCAAATATGAGATGATTCCAGTGTGCATTTTGAAACCGACGTATTTAGAAATTGACATAATTTATTTGAAATTTAAGGTAACTGGTTTGTGTCTTCTCAAATATAAAATGTATTCCTGTGTTATGAAGGAAACCATTCAGATTATCATCAGAGCTTAGTTCTTAGTACTAAAAAGCATATACCCTCAAATGTAAAATTTTGGGGTCTCTAGACACATGAATGTATGTAGGAAGTTTTTGTTTTGTTTCCAAAAATAAACATTCAGTATATTTCTTTTTTTTTTTTTAGATTTTATTTATTTATTTATTTGACAGAGAGAGACAGCGAGAGAGGGAACACAAGTGGGGGGAGTGGGAGAGGGAGAAGCAGGCTCCCCACCGAGCAGGGAGCCCGATGCGGGGCTCGATCCCAGGGCCCTAGGATCATGACCTGAGCTGAAGGCAGACACTTAACGACTGAGCCACCCAGGCGCCCCTAACTTTCAGTATATTTCTTGGGTTTAGAACCCAAATTTATAGTTGGTTATTTTGGAACACCTCGGATCTCTGAAGTAGCAAATTGGACTCCTTTTACATTATGCCTTTTGCTCATAAATTTATAGTTATTTGGAGTTGGTTTTCTTAAAATTTTTAGTGTTTTCACATGAGATTAGCAGCATAGTTCATAATAGGCTTTAGAGTCAATTTCTTTGCTGTTTTCACATCTGTAAAATGGAGCTGATGGCAGTTATTGTGTAGAGTTGTGACTTTTTTTTTTTTTTTAAAGACTTTATTTGAGACAGAGAGAGAAAGCACACAAGTGCGGGGAGGAGCAATGGGAGAGGGAGAAGAAGATCCCCACTGAGCAGGGTGCCCAATGCGGGGCTCAATCCCAGGACCTGGGGATCATGACCTGAGCCGAAGGCAGACGCTTAACCGACTGAGCCACCCAGGCGCCCTGAGTTGTGACCTTTAATGTATTAATTTACCTAATCACTAACTGGAGTGTAGGAAGGAATCAGTGTATGTAGCAACTGTAAAAATAATATAGCCTCATCATTAAAAAGTTTAAAGGAAAAATAGCACCTACAATTCCATTATGTAGAGATGACCGCTGATAACGCTTCATGTTTCCTTCAATCATGTTTTCTTCTTTTTTTTCCATTAATAAAATAAAACATAATATTAAATGCATAAGAGTAAACAAAGTTACATGACTCTTTTTAAGTTAAACATTACTAAATTTTTATAAATAAAAGAATACTTTTTTCTGCAGCTAGGAGCTCTTTTCTTATTAATGCAAATCTGCCTTATTGCTAAGTAGTATATGCCAGCTCTGGCTACTGTATTTTAACTTATTTAATTATTCCCATATTCATGAACATTTAGCTTATTTCTAGTTTCTAATTATTAGAAATAATGCCATAATAAACATTACATTAAATAATTCTTCTTGAAGAAATGGTTTTGTATGTTTACATGACTTTTTCTGTACAATCAGTCCCTAGAAAGTAGACTTACTGGATCAGAGAATACAGAGATTACATCTAATTATTGGAAAGGGTGAGCTGTTGAATTTTTTTTTTAAGATGTGCCTGTTTATAGCTCATCTTACTCTGTTCCATACATAGGGAATATTTTCACCAGTCTGTTTATCCTTTAATTTGGTCTTACAATCATTTTTGATGCATTTTAAATAGTTGTAAAAAGTCTCTACAACATAGAGATAGTAAGATGGAGTAGTTAAGAACAGAAACTGGAGCCAGGCTGCCTATATTCAAATTTATAATCAGCCTCCTCCCAGCTATGTGATACTAAGCTAAACCACCTAACTTCTTTTTGCCTCAGTTTCCTCATCTGTGAAGTGTGACTTTTAATAATAAACTGGGACTAAACCAGTTTTCATTTCCATTTGTAGTATATGAGAATACCCATTTAAACGTCTCACTACCACTGAGTTTTCTCTTTAAAAAAAAAATGTTGCTAATTTGAAAGGTTGAAATGACATTTTTTTAAATTTGCTTTTATTTAATTCTACTGAGATATGGAATATTTAAATACATGTTTCAGAGTGTAAAGTTTGACTTAATCCAATCCATTATGGTAAGATGATCTTTCATTCATAGGACCATTTTGGGGGTCAGTTCAGTGAAAAAAATAATAAATTATAAATAATAATAAAAATAATTCAAAATCTGTGCAACTAAATTTTCCATTTGTTTTGTTAAATTGCCCATTATTATTTTTAAAATGAAAATGGTTTTGCTACTAACTGAATTTAAAATGTCTGTATTCAGATGTTAGATGAATAAAGCATTAAGGTGAGTTCCCAGTTAAATGAAAGCCATACTGAATATTGAGAATATTGCTGGTTAGTTAATTGATAATCAGCTTGGAAATGTCTTTAGTGTGTCCCAGTATTTTGTTCATTCTTCTTCAGCATTTCCATCAGTGATTTAGATCATGATTTCTCATCTTGGCCCTGCTGACATTGTGAGCCGGAGAATTCTTTGTTGTGGGGGGCTATTTTGTGCATTTTAGGATGTTTAGTAGCATCCCTGGCCTCTACCCACTAGGTGTTGGTAACACACACACACACACACACACACACACATGCCTCTGCCCACCCACCTTTCTTGTGGCAACAGGAAATGTCTCCAGAGATTACCAGATGTTTCCCAGAGTTGGGGCAAAGGGGAGAGACAAAATTACCCCTACTTGAGAACCAGTGATTTAGATTAATACAGAAGACCTACTTCTTGAACTTAATGTATAGTAGAATCAGGATTGCAAAAAATTTCTATTGCTCAAAGGTGGTGTATCAGTAGCAAGATAAATATATAAGGTCCTGTACTTCACTTGTAGGAGAAAAAAATGGAACAAAATTTAGAAAATTTAGAATTACCTTCTTTAGGATACCTTTGTTTTCTTAGCCATTCATATGAAAATGACTAGGTTTTAATGATTTTAAGTGTTACTTTATGATTTAGTGTTATTAGATGATGTGTTATTTAAGATGATTGCTGGAAGGAGGGATGGGGGGGATACTAAATCTTTTCAAAGGATTATTTTCACTTCCCATGCCCCAATATTCTATTTTAAGAGGTTCATATTCAGTACTTTTTATCAACTTTCAAAAGTGATTAATGCTTTGACTCAGATAAACCTGAATTTGAATATTGCCTCTACCATTTAGTACACACTGGGTGATCTTGGGCAAGATTGAATTTACTGTGTTGAGAGGATTAAATGGAATTATACCTAAAGTAGTACCTGGCACTTAGTAAATAATACACAATGACAATTCAAGGTCTGCTTTCTCTTATCTGAAATCCTTGGGAATTTGGTAAAATTACTATATTATATTCACCTCTAGGCAGTCTGGAGCAGCATTACATAATCAAAGGATACCATGTCTACAGTGAAACCTACAAATGTTTACGTTATAATGGGTAAATAATGATTGTAAACTGGCTCAGGCAGGTTTTGCTGGCAGAGGAGTTACTGAGAAAACTTTCGGTTTCAGATATTTGGGGATTTTACTGTAACTGTTCACGTGAGATTTTGGTCCTGGGTACTAAGATGATTGCTGTAACTCCCACAATATTGAATTGCTCATTTGCTTGTTTAAGCAGCTTGAGTTACAATATAGTCAAAAACT